TTACAACAGTGAAAAATTTGGTGAGAGTAACACACAAGATGAAATCAGGTGTTGGACTGGCAGGATATTAATGTGGTAGCAACAATTTTAGTTTATCGTGGGTATCAGCCATGAGATGGCAGATCTCTGCAGCTGGAGTGGTGAAGCAGCTTGGCTGGGCATTTTGGGAGACAGAGAATAACTGAAAGTGTGGCTACTGTTGACCCAAAGACAGGCAAAATCATCTGCTAATGGTAAACGACCTCTTTGAGTCACATAAGCTCCAGGGGAAGTTGGGTCTGACAAGTACAACTTGAGCTGATCATCTTTCAGACAGGTTCCATCCAGGATAATGTACTTTGTGGGTTTTCAGCAGGGTTTTTATCATGTTTCACATATCCTGTATGGGTAGACCCTTCTGGCATTCTGCTGAGCTGACTTGAGCCTCTCCACACTATACTGCAAACCTGTGGTACAGAGGGATCCTGACTGATTTTTTAGTGTTGGGAGTGAGATGGGAATATGCCACGCTCATTCACTAGTGGCCTACAGAGTATGGCATTTAAACATATGTATAACTTATTAAATACATTAATATTCTCATTGGCTGCTTAAAATCAATTCCTTTGATGGTTCATAACTGTATTCACAATATTCTACAATTGTTTCATACCTGTAAAGTATATATGCAGCTTGTTGAAAGAGCGGGTCTTGCACTTTCAATCCAGGCCTGTAATGCCAAATCAACGTATCTCACTTCTGTCAAACCTCCTGTGTACTGCATGACTAGGATATATTGTGATAATGTATATCAGTAAGGTAAATTATTATATGATGCATATTAATATTACAAAAGAAAAGTATAATTAATATTAATATATAACTTTACAGCCTTACAAGCCAACACAGAAATACGTGCAAAACTTTGTCAGTATTATCAAGGGAGACATAACCACAAATGGTGTATCAAAAGCGTCAGCACAAAAAGGCTACATTGACTCTTGGAGACACTCAAGAGCTGGGCTCATCCTGCTGCTATGTGACTAGATAAATGCTTGCTGTGTGACTGAAAAGCAGTTCATAGAATAATGAACATCTGGAGGTCACACAGACCACATCTCCTTGGGGATAGCAGTTTAGGATTCTTTTTCCCTTATCTAATTGGAATTTCTCATGATGCAGCTTGTGTCTGTTAGGATTTCTGCTGTGTCCCTCTGAGAAGTCTTCTCTTTCTAAGGCTGACCTAACCCTGCTCACTCAGCTTGTCCTCACACACCAAGTGCCCCATTGCCTTTATCACCCTGATGGTCCATGTTGGGTGTCAATGTATTTCTTGTACAGGGGAGTCCAAAACTGAAAATAGGACTCCAGCTGCAGTTTCACAACTGCCAAGCAGGCGGGAAGAAACACCTGCCTTGACCTGCTGGCCACACTCCTGCTAGTACACTCCTGCTTATCTCTGCTCACATGATGGGCCTGAATTAAGGGATGTGCTACACATGTTTAAAATTGCTTTAAACAAACATGCAAATAATCCTTTGCCCCTTATTCTCAGAGCAAAACCTAGAATTAGTGCCATAGCTGTTTGCAGTATAGATTTTCCTATTAACAACTCAACACAGAAGCACTGCGCCCAAAACTCAAGCATTAGTACTTATATAGTCTCATTAAAATCCTATAAACCTTCTCACAGACAAGAAAATTCTAGCCATTAAATCCTCTGAATAATATTACTATAAAATCTTGCACTTCATCACCACCCTTACAGACAAAATTTTTGCAAAACTGCAGTGCTAAAGGAGCTGATAATATCGTAGGTTTATATAATGCTTCTTTTCCTTATTATAGTTTCTTTGCAGGCTTCTCAGACGTGCTCCAACAGGTGATGTATGTTTTCCCTGTCAGCTCTCCTCCCTAACTAAATAATTTACTTTGTAATGTAATAAATGTCGGGCATATGCTTCCCAGCATGGATGCTTGAATCTAACATTCCATCAGACAAGCTTTGATTATAGGCTTTTTTAAATTATGAATCTACAAGGCAGGCCTGGCACAATTCTGTCACGAAACCAGTACATTGGTGATCTTGAGGTAAATGTAAAAAAAATACAGTCTGTAAATGAAACTGTATCTCATTTATGTTCAACAGATTAGGATTTACTAGTTCTCATTTCAAGACAAAATTGAGGTTGGGTATTTCCAAATGTGGGTGCCTAAATATATAAGGACATACATATGATGTAAAAGCAGTGTTCACTATATGAAGGTTCACTGTTAAGGTTGAAGAAATCTGAAAATAAAGAACCTTAGGTAAAGACTCCGCCTTCCCAACATTTCTGCAAGTCAAACCCCTTCTCTGCAGATTACTGTATTTGAAAACATTGGCCCTGGGCTTTAGGACATACTATTTCAAACAGATAAACCTGTCTCTGTCATCACTGGTAAATCCCTGACAAAAACAGGACAGGTTTTACTCTCTATTTAAAAACTGAAATACTATAGCAAAATTTAGCACTGTGGTATGGTAGCAGTTTTCCAAAATTACCACCAACAAAAGATTTTTATACCTTTGAACAGTTGCTGTTGAAGAACTACCACGGAATAAAACAAAGTCCAGTCTATGTATGCCATTTAAAAAATTCTATTTAATGTACATATTACACTTCACATGCAAAACCAGGTTTTACTCAATATTTAGCATTTCCTGTAACACACCAGGCTGATGGGTGTCATCCTCTCAGCAAACTTAAAACAGATCTGACATCTTTTCTGGCCTGGTGGAGCACTTGTTATGATTGTTCTTCATTACAATTTAAATTGCATATAGTAGCACCAACAGAAAGAAGAGATTTTGCCTTACCTTCTTTTACTTTTAGAAGAGCTATAGTTATAAACTGAACCAGATTCTCTCAAATTACTATGGACTTATAGTAAAAGTTCCACCATCTCTCTACTATTTTTTAAATTACAGCAAGAAGATGAATGCAGTCATATTTTTCAGGATATTTCTTGCCTGTGAGCTATAAAAGCATCAGTAAGGCACTCTGTTGACAAATTTAGTCTATGCTTTGAAATATGCTTATTACAAAAGTAAGGACTTTTTTGGCAGAGAACAATTAAGAATAGCATCTTTCCCTTTTTATGAGGGAAGAAAGGAGGGATAAAATATTCACATGTATTTATATTCATAATTTAAATTTTATCTGATTCTTCTTTCAGTTTGGAAGACTTCTGTTTCAAGCTAGGCAAGTTTTTCTACATAGGTATTTCCAAAGAACCATGAAGTATGTGTCATGACTCCCCTATTCTCTCCTATTTTAAAAAATACAAATGAATCACTTTGGAACTCTTGATTTGAAATATGTGGAATACTTCGTTGTTCAACCATCTTTTATGCTTACTTGCCTTTGCTGAGAGCACCACCTCCATAAACACCAGTAAATATAAAAAGCACATGGCATAATGGGTAATTTCCCAAAATAAGATCATGTAATACAGTAAAAATGACCGTACACATGGAACAAAAGGAGAGCACATACTCAAGTCTTAAGTGCCAGCTTCAGCAATAGAAACCTGTTCCTGAACTTTGATCTAGAAAATTTTATGTCAGATGAGTTGAACACATGTATTTATAGCCTGAAGTTCTAGGACTGGTTTTCATGCTAAATAAAAATGCAACCACTATAAATATGAGTGTTAGAACCAGAACGAAGAGTATTATGGGTTAAGAGCAACATGATACAGGTTTTTTCTTAACTGGCACAATGTAATAAATGACGGATAGTTGCATTAACCTCTTTAGAAAGACAAGGTTCTTTCCATATTTAGCATACTGCCTTTCTTCCTGTTCTAATGCAAAAATTTTACCTAATTTCCAGTGTAGAACCAAGAATGAAGCCTGCATGATGTATAGAGTACTAAATTTTGCGCACCAAATCAATCAGACAAGTCCACTGTCTTGAAGACATCTGCATTCTTTTTAGTGTAGGGAGAATTTGGTATCCATGAAAGCTTTTATTTGACTGTAGTGAGTCAGGACCTGCTCAAGCAGGCTGCATTAGCCAAGATGAAAACACAGAAATGGGTGCTTGTGGGCACTGGCCTTGGTATTGGTGTCTCCTTCCAGGACTATTTATGCATTTTGAAGTGGACAAACTTGGGCAAAAATCAACAGAGGTATCTGGAGTTGCATCCAGGACTAGGATTCTTCTTCTACCCCATCCAAAGGCAGACTTTATCACAAAGCTATGACCAGATCCTTCTGCCCTTGTGAATTTTGCATTGCTAGCTTCATGGCTGTACATGAACTTCAGCAGAAGACCTGAAAGCCTCTTCTCCAGTCTGGAGCTAAGGCACCCTCTGGAAAAAATGGCTTTGAATTAAAACAAGGAGGACAACCAGCTTCCCAATTGTTTTACATGGACTCTAACCCCTAGACTATTACACAAGAATTAAACCTAGGTGGTTTAAAACTCTGCTAACAAATTTCAGATTTCACGTAGTCCAGAATACTGTGGAAGGTATTGTTGAACTAAGACACCAGTGTTTCCATGGCCTGAAATTTCCAAGTCCTTCTGTGGATCTGTTCCTGCATTTACAGACAGTCACAGGCAGGGAACAGGTCTTCACAGTGGTGACTTGGCACTCAAAGCACTGTGGTTGTGATACCTAGAGTCTGTTTTAAAGCAGCATTTAATTCTGGTGATTCACAGCCATGATGATTATAAACTTATTTCTCTAATCTCTCCCCCTGCTCTCCATTTCCTTCTAAATCTGGTGTTACATCATGTTGTCTGTCACCTGTCATAAACCACAAAATAATCTGAAAGCATGACCAGATCTGATATCTGTATATCTCAAATATTCATTTTGTCTACTTCAAAAATTGTTTTGTATACAAGAAAAAAATCTAACACTGAGGTAAACTTTATGAAGAAATCATAACACTGTTTCAACGTATCACAAATGCTCCTTTAGAATAACTTGCACTGACTCATGGCAAGATCTTTTGTGGTGACTAGTTCCTCACAAAACTTTGGTAAATAGGTCCCATCTGGAACACGAGCAGCTCTGTGCTCTGCTTCCTGATGATGCAGTACATCAAACAAATCCCCCAGACACTCCTCACTGCAGGCTCAGTGTCTGTCTGGTGGTGGTCATGGAGCCAAAACTGTGAGAACCGACATTGTAGATCAGAATGAGCAGGAAAAAGGGTATGAAAATACAAGAAGAATACATAACTAAGAATGCCTGCTACTGCATAAGAGTCTTAGATTTCACAGCTTAATTCCTATTCTTGCATTTTAAGTGGGTAATTTTCTCCATCCAGTACAGTTATAGATCTTCCCTTAAAGGCTTTTTCCTGAGGCAACTGCACACTGAGTCCCTGTCATCAGGCTGAGGTACAAGTTCCATTCCATCCCGTATTTCAGGTTTGCTGGCTTGGCGTTCGGCATATTTCTGAAATATGTAAACAACATTTAAGAATGCTATAAGCATCAACATATAATTCACGAAGCAGAATTTTCCTCCTCCCTTCCACTAGAAGCCTACCTTTATCCAGGTATATGGATATGCCATTGTTCACAACCTCTGCACAAGGTGTCTTTGTAACATGTCTACTAATGGGCTACATTGCCTCTGAAAACCCTTTCATGTTTCTGCCTATTATAATGGTAACTTGAATATTGTCATCATTTGTGCCTAATCACTTCATGCAGATAGCATAAAAGTGTCATTTTTGTACACTGTAGAGTTCCAAACTTTGTGTTAACCTGTGGCTGGTGAAGCTGGCATCTAACTGCACAGCAGTACAGGAAAAAGATACTTTCAGAGAAGAGAAACTTCATTCACTAGGGATTTGCATTTTCTAAGGAAGAAATGACTACTGGGCCTGCTTCATCCCCTACACTCTACTAGTCACACTTCTGGAACTTCTTTTCCATATATTCATTGTTTTGTAGTGGAGTAGCTCATGATGTGAGAAGAGTGAAGGGAAAAAGGAAGAAAACTGGACATACAGATTATCTCCTACAGACATCTACTGGAAACCAAATACCAAGTGACAATGAAAACAGGGCTGATTGAGGATGGGGGCAAAAAAAAATTCCTGATTCTGTAAAATAACTACTACATCAGGTAGCTTCTTTAATGAAGAAGCAGGGCTTAGCAAAGCTTTCACACTGCTCTCCTATGAATAATATGTACCATGTGTGCTACTGATTTAAGTAACGACTGAATATGAAATTTGTAGCAACAGCAGCAGCTGGGGGGAGAGTAATAAAGTGATCTATTATACTCACCTGGAGCACTTTATAATAGTAGCAGTAAAACCTGTGAGGCTGAAGTAATTCTCTTGCCATTAGTTGTCCTTCTTTAGCAATTTTTCTTGCTTCCTCATCATTTTTCTGGAAAATTCAGATGAAACAAATGAGTAACAGAGCAATCAGTGAGTTACTCAAAGCCTGACTAGCATTAGAAGTTTTATTAAATGGGCTATTCAAATCTACAAAATTAACTGCAATTACTGGTAGATTGCAAATGCATGATTAAAATTGCAGATTTGTTTAAAAATACTGGATTGCTTTTATTGCCACTACTGCTGCCTTAGGGCTATCAATAACAACTTTCGTGACTAACTGTACAATTTTGAAAACTCAGTTGATTACTGCTCTACCTTTTTGTCCAAGCCACAGGCCTCTTCAAAATCAGTTCCAATACCTCCCAGATCTAGTTAGTTTATTGAGGACAAAACCACAGCTCTTGTCCTGTCCAAGGCAATGGAATTCAATGTCTTCTTTTCAAAAATAACTGCATGAATTCATGTACTTTTATTCTCAAGCTTTTTAAGTCCATGTTTCAAAGCTTTTGGTATCCTCCTCTGATTCCTTAGGTAGAATTACAGTACTCTCAGAAGATAAACTCCTCCTGTGCTTTTTCAATCTCAACAGCACTTTGACCTAAAGCACGAATGGTGTTTTCAATCACAGAATTGTATCTGTTTGCTTGCAGGATCCCAGCCTCTCACTCTGAGCATGTTACAGAGAGCAGCAATTTTTTGTACATTCAAACAGAACATGCAGTAACTTCTGCCCAAGTCAGAACCTAAAAAAGGCTACAGCATTAATTAAGTAGTATCTAGGAATCTGGTTGTTTCTTTCACAATTACTTTAGTCAGTATGCTAAGGCTCTGACTCATGAACTCTTCTGCCCATACTTAAAATGAACACTTAAGTACTGGCTAAATAGAGATGGTTATTTCAAATAAGGCCTTCTCATTTTATACTAACAACAAAATGTACTTCCTTTATTCCAGGATCTCAATAGAGTTCATGCAATATATATATATATATGTGTGTGTGTGTGTGTGTAAATACAAAAGAAGATACTATTAAGATAAATTGTTTACTTGTCTGTTCATCACTTTGAACTTGAATCAATAATGGAACTTACCTTAGCCCATTTTATTTTCTCTAGCAAGTCCTCTAAGTTTCTCTTAACTGGAACATAATGTTTCCAAGGTTTTAATCCAATATAAAAGTGTTCATAGTACTGGGAATCTTGCTTCAATACCAGGCTGTCTCCCAGCAGGAGGTACGGAAACCTGTATGCTGCTACGGTGCCATCTACATTCACTTGGTATTTGTACTACAGCGTGAAGAGAGAGGAAAAGAGGTGCAATGTTTTGTATCAGAGTGGGAACAATGACTGTGTAAATTACTATTTTAACAGGCAAGAAGTATCATGTTTATTCATTTTCATCTTCAAACTCGTTTCAGCGTTAAGCACATGTGGTTTCATGGTCTTCTGGATAACGTAATGGAAAAAGGATTTGTTTTCAACACGAGGCTGACAGTCAAGAACCTTTGTGTCACATGAGATGTCTGATGGGTGTCCTACTGAAGTGTCTTGGCAAGGGCTACAGCAGGGAAGGAAATAAAACTCATCTATACTTCAATTCAAACAGAGTAAATTTATTCGGACTTAACATTATTATATAGAATAACCTGAAACATATTATTATATAAAAGAAGCTGAAACATTATACTAGAAATAACCATGAATGTACTGCTTTGGCAGATGTTCTTGGCTGTTACAGCATTTCTGAAATACTGAACTTCAGAACTGAATTTCAATTGCTATATATTACAATGGCTTTATACAGGACTCTGTCCCCTTTATTTTTTTATATCTTTCTTGCAGTAGAACTTGTATGTTAAAGTACAACAAAACCACTCATCTATTTTTCTAATTTGTTACTACAAAGACTCTTTCTGACATCCATAGTGTACTTGCAATGGATATAACGTGTGTCCATTGTTTTCATATTTACCCCAAATCAAAGAAACCCTGATGGTGAGAAATCCTATTTCTCAGTCTATTAAACCATCTCTCTAAAGGTCTTTCTCTACAAGTATGTCACACTAGGACATTGATTACAGGTGGTTTATCTACTCTGCATGGACCTGTGCTCCTACAGCAGCCTAACTGTTTTGTTTACGGAAAAGAATTAATAAAAGTAAGCTTCGTCTTTTCAGTTGGTAAGAACTTGACAACAAAATTAATCCAACACCATAATTTGATTGCTACCTTAAAGAAGTCAAAGAAGCCCATCAGCTGAGCCTTCCCCAGCTCTTTTTCTTTTTCTCTGAAGAAGAAATATCCAGTTATTCCAGCATCTAGTAGTTCTGGATTTTCCTTGGATAACTTGACAAGATGGAGACGTTCTTCTCGGCTGTCTCGACCTCTAAACAAAGCCCGCTCAGTTTTGTTTTCCCAAAAGGGGCCTATGAGCAGTGAGTGATAAGGCAAAAGCAAACAGCAGTGAAATGTTCAGGATCTGTTCAAGGCAAATAAGGAACTTGGTTGGACCGTGGCATTACACTCGGAGACATGGTAGGACAGGCATGATTTCCCATAACCACTTATTCATCACAGGGTTAAACTCCTAATTCTGGTTTGAATTTTGGGATGAGAAACTCATACAAGGAAAATTGGAGAATTGCTTTCCCACTCAACAATTTTGTATTTCAATAACTTCAACTATCTTGAAAGCTACCTAAGGCATTATAATAAAACATGTAAGGAATATACTAATAATTAAAGCAATTCTCCATCCATAAAGCCTCCACAATAACCTAATTTCTTTAGTAAAACCCACCTCTGTTACCCAGCAATTTAGTAGGTCCTTGAAGAACCACTTAGTGATGCCTTAAAAAAGAAAATAAATGCCTATGTTGTCCTCTAAACATTTAGCAAGAGTCTGAAAGACTTAATCTCTGCTTACTGCATTAACCATGCCCTTCCTCACCTTTCTTCTTTCTGCTGAAAATTTCCCTAAAGGACCTACTAAATGGAGTAGTCTCTCACTGTCTCCTAATTGGAACAGCAGCTGTACGAAACCAGTAAACACACAATGCCTCTAACTGATCATTTAATTGAAATATTTAATTTAAAAACTAATAAAGAAAAGAGGAACAGTTTTACTCCTTAGGTATTGCTTATGCCATTTGTTGGATCCCTGAGTATTCTTTAATTTCCTGAGGGAGAGGAAGACACCTGTAAAGCTGTCTCCTCTTCCAAAGCCAGAAAAGCAATTCAAGAGGTCTCACTCTGAGGTATTTTTGTCATGTAGGCAATGTTTTCTAATTTGAAAGAGGCTGCAGCACAGTATCAGCTTACTTCTTTCAGGATTCAAATTAATTTTTTGTAAACAGAACACTGGGCTGTAAACACAACACAGTCAGGAAACTGGTTACTGTTTGATTAGAAGAAACATATTTGAGCCCTTTACTGAGAAGAAAGGCCTTTTAATTACATTTAGTAATTCTTTTGCCAGGTCACAGTAGGCATCTTCTGGATACCTTTAATGTAAAATTCACATTTATTGCAAACTGGACTTATTAAATTTTGGTTCTAAATGATACACCTGCTTAGTGGCAGTGTTGAAAAGTGTTTGCAATCTGTAAAGACTAAGCTGCTTGTATTCAGAGATGTGCCAGGGCACTTTTAAGTGAAGACTTCAACACGTTATTTGAATGCAACTTGTTTCTTCTATGGAAATCACAAAATTCTTTTTAAATCCAGTTTCTAATTCACCTGTATTTCCTTGAATGGAAAGGAGGTCATTGGTGACTCCACGCAGGGTTTCCAGAGTTGAGTGGGTTACATCATACGTTGGCAGGATGATATCTCTGGAATCCACAGAGCCACACCAGGAGATGACAGGTACAGGCCCAGGGGTGTCATTAGCTTTCCGATGCTCAACTGGCCAGTCTCCAACATTGAGATAAAACTCTACGTCAGGAAGACGAACCTAGATGTGTACACAAGAAAGGATAATAACACAGAGAAGCTGTCTGTCACTCTTACATCTATTCCTCAGTTCTGCCATGTCACACAGACTCAGTGCACCTACTGGATAGTTCATAGATTTAGCTGTGCTTAATGCCTGAATTCCAAGCTTCTGCCCTGCAAGCAAGTTTGAAAGGAACACCCAGAGGCCACGAAACAGCTCCCAGTTGGGCCTTAACCCTTGGAGCTTTCCAAGCATTTTCATTACTGCTAGGACCAGCCCCCACACATTACTCCTAACACCCAATGTTGTCTTGATGGAACATCAAATCTTCAGGAATTACACCTGTGAAGATACAACAACAATTGCAGCACTGCCATATTTAATTATGCTTAGCCTGGACAAGAGACGACTGAGAGGGGATCTTGTCAATGCTCACAAATATCTCAAGGGCAGCTGTCAAGAGGATGAGGCCAGACTCTTTCCAATGGTGCTCAGCAACAGGACAAGGGGAAACAGGCGTACACCTAAACACAGGAAGTGCCATCTGAATATGAGGGAAAACTTCCTTACTGTGAGGATGATGGGGCCATGGAACAGACTGCCCAGACAGGCTGGGGATATTCAAAACCCACCCTGGAGATGATCCTGTGCAACCAGTTCTAGGTGAACCTGCTTCAGCAAGGGAGTTGGACTAGACGTTCTCCAGAGGTCCCTTCCCACCCCAACCACTCTGCGGTTCTGTGATATTGCCTTAATAGTCTGACATGATCCAAACCGATACCTTCCTGGCCAGCGACAGGAACATTTCATCGGAGAACATCTTGAAGTCTGTGTACTTCCCTAAGGAGCGCCGGTAGATGTGATTATCCAGGATAGTGTAATGAACAATAGCACCTCTTGTTTGGCTGAACTTTGCTGGGATTTCCTTAAGCATTCGCTGCAGGTCAATGGTGGGAAATGAAATGAAGTCTTTTGTAATCTGAGGCTCTTGGGATGGACAGGACATCATGTCCTGCCAGACCTCAGGGTCTTCTACAGGACAGTCACAGTATTCATGATAAACTGGTTCTGTAGAAAACAAAGCACCCAGCGTCTGTATTCATGATTCTACAGCACACATAATTTATATATTACAGCGGCTTGGCATTTTTATACCATGTTTTCTACAGTTTTCATGAGAAATCATCCTTCCTATAATTTCTGGAATTCTGCAGTGTAACTGAGAAAACAGCAACATTCTTCTCTTTTCAGAAATACAAGACTTTGTATTATTAGGGTGAAATTATTCTGCTAAATGAAGCTCCATTTCTGTCAACCTGCCACGCACATGGAGATTCAGAACTGTTTGAGCTGTCCACAGCTACCACAGCCCAGGTACTGCAGTTTCAAATATATCCTAATTCAGAACTTTGACACATTACATTACATCAAAAAATACCCTTACCTTTCAAAATATAAGGTGATTGAGCCACATGCTGATCACCATAAAGTATCTCAATTTTTAAGCCTTTTGTGACACTTGCATACATCCGATACCGCATAAGGAATGTACCATCATTTCTATCCAAAGGCCGAGGCGTGTAAATTCTGGTGACTTCTTTTGGAGAAAGTGCTTTAATTACCACTTTAAACTGTGTTTTTCCTGGCAAGAGGAAAATAAAACCAGACAAAATCACTTTAAGCTATTAGTATTGCATCTAGTAAATACAGATAAGGAGCAAACACCACTGAATTAAGACCACAGAATTTAATTTATTTTTCACTACAATTTTTTAATTATACCAAGTTGGTAAAACTAGGTTCCAGTGATGAAATATCATCCTACCAAATATTCTTAGTCACTGCACACCTCTAAATGGAAAACCTGCAGGTGTAGATAAAAAGTTAAATATTTGATTATAAGACAGAAGGAAAGGCTAACAGTATTTTGAAGCTAAGATTAGGTTTTATTCTAAGTTTTCCAGTTAGTGCTCTGAGGAACAATAATCTCCTCTAGAGTAAGAAAGACAGGAAACCAAGTTAAAGTAACAGGAGAAAAGAATACTTGCCAGCTTGTGGAAAGGCAGTTGCAGCATGCAGGAGTCACATAAAAATTGTTCAGCTTTGGGCTGCTGCTGACTGTCTTGCACATTTAAAGTCCCAGCTACTGAAAAGCAGGGATAAGAGAATGATAGTAGAGATGTTCCCTGGACATCTGTCTGACCTGTGCTTAAAGACCACTAGCATATCATCATTAATGCACGAAGATATGGAATAATTTATGGACAATATGAGTATGCATAAACATAAATCTGCTATAGTCTTTAGGTCTATCACAAGTGGTCATTGTCAACTTTATTATCTAAACAAAAGGAGGAGGACAAATTATTTATGAAGTGTAACAGTCTAAGCATTGTGAACCAAACAAATACAACGAATGCTACCACCAAGTAGTATACAGAAATAAATGAAACTGAAAAAAATCCAGATAAAATCAAGAGGTTACTAAAATCTGAATATGTCCCAACAGCACTAAATGGTTGAGATGTCAAAATTAGCTCTATATTTTGCATCCACAGATAAATGCACAGATATGGTAAGTACCAGTCTTTTAATGATTAATCATGTCTTCCTTAGATCACTGAGTCTTTAAATTTGATTCAAGTGAAATACTGTGCAAGAATATTCAGATTAAATTACTCTCCCAAAGGAATTAACATCTCTGCCTCTAAACGTCACTGCAAGTCACAACCACCATTTAAAATTTGCTTCAAAGTACGTGACTTCAACCAAGTACCCTCTCCATATGAATATCACCTAGTATTATTTGGATGAAGAAGTATTCACATCCAGAGCACGTCATGAGGTTCACAAAGAAAACTGTTTCCTGTTGGTATCACGTCATTGTCTCCTTGTACCCATTTTATTAAACAGCATTTTTACTGGGTATAGTGATCTCTCACTGAAGAAAAGTAAGTTTTCAGCTTAAAAATAAAAATGAATGAATATTGTGAAATCGGAAGTCAGATACTACTGAATTTTATATCCTTGTCCTCTCCTACAGGAAGTAACTAAATGGGTCTTTTATCCTGCTGGATAAATGACCAGAGATGAGGTCTCTGCTCTAGAAATGAGGAGCCCTTGATCTACCCAAAGAACATGGTAGATTTAGTTGGTGGTACTTTAGACATAGGAATAATTTGATAAGGGAAGTGACTGATAACAAAGCTTTCTGGGAAAAAGCTAACACCACTGAAAGTGAAGAGGAAGAAAAACGAGACTGAGCATCTCATGTAAGTACAAATAATTCATTGGAGAAAACAGACCTCTTTTTTGTAATTTACAACATTCATTGTGTAATGGGGCCAAGGCCTCTACTGTATACTTAATCATGACAGCTTTTTGCTGATTTTTATTTTTTATTTGGAGGAAGTTACCATGGTACTTCCACTCATGTTTTTTTGTTTCTCTCAATCCAAAGGAATTACAAAAGAAAAATGCATCCCTGTTGAATCAGCACCACTAGTACTCCTCTGTTACCCTGAAAACATGTCTGGGACAACATTTTAGGTACAAAATAATTTCCCAGTACTGAAGAGACACTAAAATACAGACACAGTCAAAATGGGGTACTTTAAGAAATCCAGATAATGACACCTGCTTTACGCATTCTTTTTCTTCTGTGCAGCTTGCCAAAGAGGTACACCACACATGGAGGAAAAAGTGACAAAACGGAGAGAATGGGAGAAAAAGTAACAATAATGAATTTAGGCAAATTGCTAGAGAACAAAAAACCCTAGTCACCCTATTTCTGACATGTATGCTGAAGCAAAATTAAAAGATCTGAAAAGAAGATTTTTTTTGATTCAACTGTTTTACCAGAATTGTTGCCAGTTACTTTCACAGATGGAAATCACAAAATCATGAATTGTCCCTTTAGTCTGCCACTAAAGGGACAATTTGTGTGTCCCTTTAGTGACAGACTCACTAAAGGGACACACGAATTATGAGCCTATACTTTCAGAGAGCTGGTGCAAGAACGTATGTCCAGTAACAAAGAAATACAGGTCTCGTCCATGAGCATCACAAAAGCCCAGGGATCATGGTAACCAAAGACCCAAAGGGAAGCCCTGCAGTGCCCAGGTATGAAGGTGACTGAACTGAAATGTACAACTCTGTTTGCAGCACTGGAGCGAGAGCTGGAACAAGCATGCCCTGCTCTTTGAAAGCATTTGGTGAAACCTGCAAGGATACCTGGGAGACCTCGAAAAATATTTATTAGCACAGTATAATCTAAACAACAGTTAACAGCTGATTTTATCACGGTCAATAGTATATAAAGACATGGTTGGCAGTTGTTAAACCTACGATAAGACCTAGCAGAAAAGAAGGCTAAGACTTATCCAAGTAGCCAAAGGAAAAAATATATGCAGTTTACACTAAAAGAAAGTTCTGTATTTTCAGCAGGGATTTTCTTAATCTTTGAAATAATTTTTCTAGGGAAAGAATGAATTCTGCATCATTCGACATCTTCCTACAAAGGCAGGTCAAAACAGTTACAGCCTCTGGATTGAAATTCCAGTGTAATGTGCAACGGTGCATATCAACTTTGGTGAACAGACTAGATATTCAGAAAACAATTCTGGACTTAAAATCTTCTAATTATGCTATACAAGTTTAATAATGGATCCCAGTAAGTCCTGACTCACTTGACTGAAATTCTAATGCATACAAAAACCAATTTAATAGATTTTGACACATTTCACAAATGTGATGCCTTAACTGTAGCTCTGCTGCTCTGATCACAGTGTTCCTGTTTTGCAATGGGGGCGATAATGTCAATTTTTTGCTATCTCAACAGTTATATTTTGAGTTGTTTTTAGTTTATATTGGAGAGCGGTGCCTGAATGAATATTGTTAATTGTAATTCTTAATGACATTTTACAGATTTGAACATTTTAAATCATTACAGAACAGAAGTTTATAGCTAGGGTCTCTACGAATACTTTAAACAGTGCTCATGCACTGAACATAATGAACTCTACCACTAATTTTTTTAAGGATCCTTGGCACCCTCCTAAACAATTCCTGGCATGGGACAGCAGTTAGCACAGGTCAAGGCAACAGCTCTTCCCTGCTGGCAGCACGCATGCTCTGTCTGACTGGAGGCCACAGCAGGTCACAGGATGAATGGAGAACACTCCATGCCAGATGGCATTGGGACTTGGAAACTTTCCTGGGACACAGAATTTATTAACATAAATACGAACACACACACACAAACACACTGCAATCAAAACTAGGTTCTCAGTACCCATGTCCTCCCAGTTTATCTTGGAGGACTTACACTAGCATGAGAATCCAACTGAACTTCACACCTTTCTACCTTTAGCAACCTGTTGTTTGAACCCAGGGCTCTCCCTGTGCAGCTGCTATCAGCCTCCATCCCACTGGCAGCCAGCATGCAGTCACATTCTGGAAAACTGCGCTGACATCCAGCACCAAGCTGCAACAGCAGATGGAGAAAGCCCACACCTGAAATATCTGAAATATCCACACTCCTGTCAGAATGAAGACATACCCTGTGTAACATACGGCTACTCCTTAATTCTGCAAGCAGCAGCTTTCTAACTAACACGACATGGAGAGGCCGTGCATACCTGGTATGCCCCCTCAGTATCATCTCTGTGAACAGTAAATAATACACAGCAAATTAAGTAGCTTCTACCCTATGTAAATTAGCAAAACAAGATTTCCTCTGGGGCTATCTCAGGGTTATCTTCATTAAGGAATCTCTGACACAAAAGTAATTATTATTCCAAATTTAAACTATTAACACAGAGTGTGTGGAGTTAACTTTGCAGCAGCAAACAGCTGACTGGCATCATACCACTGGCCTGCAAGAATAAACCCAACTCCCACCCTTAGGAGGAGTGTTATGGGATGGTTTGTGCTTAGCAAACAAATGAAAATTACTCCTTAATGGAACAGCAGTAGGATAACAGAGCCCAGAGGGCTCTGCTGACTGAGACAGAAATTTTAAGCAACTGGTGTGTGTGCGGCAGTAAAAATAATTACGTTACCGCTTCCCAGCTGTGTACTGGGATTTTACATCCACTAGCTGCAGGAACACTGGTTCCTTCTGAGCTTACGGTTCTTTGCTGTAAATTCCATACTGTTTAGAGCAGGCTACTGAGTGGGCAGAGGAGGCACTGGGCAGCACCAGAAGAAAGGAGGCTCAGACCACGTGCTTCTCTCGCCATCCTGCGCGTCCCGGGCACGGGGGGCAGCCCGGGAGCAGTGACGGCACGTCAGAACGGGGAAAGGAAGCAAGGAGGAGGGGAAGAGGGGAAGGGCTGGGCACCTCCAGCCAGGTTCTGCGGCGAAACCGCAGCCCGGGGTAGGGTCTCCATTCCGCGCCCTGCCCACGCCGGAGCACACGAACGGTACCTGGCGGGGAGCGGGAGAAGTTGCGTCCGGCCGCGCTGACCGCCTGGATGTAGAAGTGCCGCACGGGCACGGTGAGCCCCGCTTCCAGCCCGGGGCCCCACGCCAGGCTCCGCTCGGCGCTGACGGGGTCCGCCGGCTCCGCAGACTCCGCCGGCCGTAGCAGCAGCCCCGCGGCGCCCAGCAGCAGCAGCGGCAGCAGCCCGCGGCCCCCCATGGCCCCGCGTCCCCCCACCGCAGCCGCTCGGAGGGCTCCGGGGCCTCCTCGGGCCCTGCGCGGCTCCCACCCGCTCCCCGCCCCGCGGGGCGGCCCGACGGCGCCGGGGCCGGGTAGAGCCCGAGGGAGGCAAGCAGAGGGCCGGGCTTTCTCCGGGCGGATGAATCCGTGTCCGCCTTTCCTGGTTCTCCTCCTCCTCCGGGCCGTCCCGCGATGTCCCCAGGGAGGTCGGGGGGTGAGAGCCCAGCCCAGCCCCTGTGGGCCGGACCGTGCCGGCGGCGGGAGCGTGCTCTGCCCGCGGGGCTCGGGCACGGCAGCGGGTTGGGAGCCGTGCACTTCCCCGGAGCCGCGGGAAATACAGCACTGTGAGAGCGGGCTCGGAGCCGCTGGTCTGCGGTTGCCGGTCCTGAGGGGTTTTTCTTCCCTGCCTGTGCGCGCTTTGCGGGACGCGCTGAGGGGCAGGTGATCGGGGGGTGTGTCGGCCCCCCTCAAAGAACACGTTACCTGCGGTTCAGGACACAGCTCAGCCGGCAGCTGAACAGCTGGCCTGCAATTTACAGAGGAGAAAATGCAGTCTTTCTCTATAGCTTTTTGTTACTGCCTTGTGTCAGCTGATGTACAGAGATTGCTGTAAAAAGAAAAAAAGCCCAAAAACCTGACATAATTTAAAATTCCTCAGAGTTTTTAAGATTTCCCATAGCACTTGCATTTAAAGCGAAGGACAGAGCAGGGACCCTGTCACTGGGCTCAGCTGCCTATCCCAGAGAGCAGGCTCAGGTGCTCCTGAGGCCTGTGGGTGAGATGCTGCTGGTGGCCCTCATCATTGCTGTGGTGCTTCGTGAAGGGGGAAAAGGGATCACAGTATTATCCTCTAGAAAATGTAACAACAAAATAATTTCATGGATTTAAAATGTTGGGTTAAGAGTAAAGAGGGTAAAACTCCAATGATTTGTCTCCTATGGTGGTTTTATTGTTTTTACCATTTGCTGCTACTAGGAAGTATTTCAAGGCGTGAGTAGATGGGACGGCTTACAATGCGGTAAGAGAACTAAATCAAGCTCCTGGGCAAGCCTGGATTTTCACATGCAAAGCAAGGAGAGCACAAATGAATTCTGCCTGGTTTTGAATAACATGAACTTCAAGTCTCTGTGCATACAGACCATGAAAAACAGGTTCCTTGAAGGGGGAATTATCAAGTCTGGTTTCCTCTTTGCTTTTGTCTTTAGTCTCTTCAATTCTCTCACTTCAGATATCCACAAATCTCCACTGACATACCATGTCTGATACTCCCAACAGGTGAGAGAAAACTTGTGTAGTGTTGCAGGGTACAGGGCAGGGCTGAGGTCAGGCGGGGACATCAATCTGCAAATCAGGATCAGTCCCTGTGAGGGGAATCGGGGTCAGACAACACTTTGGGGTAGCTGCCTATCCTGGGATTGTCAGCCTGCAGAGAGGGCCAGTCTCAGCAGGGAGAGCAGAGGACAGATGGAGACCAATGACCTATGTCATCAGTGGGGCAGGGACTGATGGCCCCAGGCTGGCCTGAAGTGGTGTCCATGGGCAGGGAGAGCAGGGGGAGCCCTGAGGAGGTGGGGGGTTCAGGGCCTGATGGTGCTCTTGGCCCCCTGTCCTGGGAAGGAGCCACCCCTGTTCTGGTATGGGCTGGGACCAGCTCTGAGGGAACGGCCCTGGGGATCCCTGGTGGGCATGGAGGGACACGGGCCATCAATGGCAGCAACAGTGGCCAACAGCAGCCTGGGCTGAAGGAACAACGGCAGAGCCAGAGGTCGAGAGGAATCATTATCCACTTCCACTCAGTACTTGTTAGACCGCATCTAGATCCTGCATCCAGCCTTGCGCTCCCCAGTACAAGACATCAATAAACTGGATCAAATCCAGGGGAAGCCACTGAGATGGCAGAGCTGGAGCACCGGCCCTGTAAGGAGAAACTGGGGCAGCTGGACTTGTTAAGCCTGTTAAGAGATACCTTCATTAAGGGAGTGGACCTCACAGAAGCCCCCAGGAAGATCATGATACGGTGCAGGTCAGAAGGATGAAAGACAAGTGGCATGAGTTGAAAGAGGAGATGGTCACCCTGTAACATCTCCCTGTTATAGGCTGAGGCACAGGTTGCCTACAGAGATTGTCCAGTCTCCATCTTCAGAGATTTTCAAGCCTCAAATGGATGAAACCTTAAAAAGCCAGCCCTGATCTCAAAGCCAATCTGCTGTGAGCAGGAAGCTGGACCATAGACTTTCTGAGGTCACACCCACCCTGACTTATCCTTTAATGAAACCATGAAATTTCTGTCCCTTCTTTCAAATGTCATCAAGATGGTAGAATGCTCAAAGATCATCTGGGTACATGCATGACCTACTGGGTGGACAGAGGTCTAGACAGAAAAAAACACCTTGGTTCATAAACCATGTTTTCCTCCTGAAACCAGGCTGAAGGACTGCTCAGGTACCACAAATACTGGCTGTAGTAATTAAGGCTGAAAGACTGTGATTAGTCTCACACTATTACATGGCACGTGGCAGCCAGGTTTCACTCAGGCCCAATTGCAGCTGAAGGGATCTTCACGTGGAGCTCATCACCTTGTAAAACTACTCATCAAACACTACCCTTGGCCCCTACGTGGAGTATTGGCACCTCAAGGCAAGCTGCAGGCATATGGCTCTCTAAGGGTTTAATAGATCTACTGTAAAGATTCTGCTATGGATGGAAAACTATTTTGTGTGCTGGAGACTCATCAGCTGGCAGGACAAGAGAAGGCAGCACATCCTGCCTGAGCCTAGCAGCTGATGTGACTGCTGTGTACAGCTGCAAGATGGACCAAGGCTGCCTGCCCCTCAATCCATGGCTCTGCTGGCCATCAGCACCCTGATGATTTGGCAACCATATTAAGATGCTGGATTTTTTTTTTAATAGTCTACTGCATTCACAGCATGTGAAAAACAAATACACTACCAATAAATTTTTTCATATAAATGCAGAATTTATTTCAAACAAATTGCTGGAAATGTGAAGATCCTGTAAATTATCAACATTTATAGAATTTATTTTTGCCAAAGAAAATCTTGGAAGAGTCGAAGTGTCAAAATTTGGATCTGCCAAACTGAATGGAGCTGATTGCTATTCAAAAGGTATTTCTCCCTATGTTTTCATGCAGTTGAATGTTAGAATACTGTTATTCAGTGTAAATTTAGCCTCAACAGGCTGCAGTCTTCCACAACTAATTTACAATCAAAAGCAGTTTTTACTTGCTTACATTAAATCAAGCCACCTGATTTCCTGTCATACACAGTATAGCAAATGAAAAAAAATTATGTCTGCAAGGTGAGCACTTAATCCAACTGCTGTTGAATGGTTAGAAAATAATTACAAATGAAAATGCTCTAAAGCAGCCACATCTAGTCAAGAAAAACTGTACGACCATTTACTTCCTTTGTACACATTTCTTTTATTATTCTTTACCTTATGTAGGCTGGTATTGCAAATTTTTTGATTAATTTATTTTGCAGAAATGTACAACAGCAGAAATTCCGTGCAGATACTCAGCTGGTTTTATTGTCTTACTCTACAGAATCCTGTACACATCGAGAATAGAGACATTTACAGAAAAACATAATTTCTCTTTAGAATACCACTTTTTACAAGACTGCAATTATACAGTAGTCATCTCCTTCCAGCATTGCCTATGTCAGCATAGTTTTATTCTTGTGAAACAGGCATGTGGTAGAGATCAGTTCTTCTATAAATATACAGTTTATGTTAGTCCTTCTATGTACAACAAAAGACAAGTTACCCCAGCAAAAAGTAATGATACTTATATATCAGTACAGATTTGAACTACAGACCCACTTCTTTAACGAAGCTTACAGTATGAAAAAATAAGGATACCTCTTACCTACTGTAATATTTTCGTCTTTTAGTTTCTTGTGGAGTAGACAGTGATACAAGCATTGCTTGCTTTGTGAAAAATACATTATTTTAAAATACCAATATCCTGTCCTTCAAGTTAGAAAAATAGAAGTATGTCCTACAGAAATTTTATTGGATTAAAAAGCATATAAAAATATGGACCATCATTTCAGACCATATATGAAATTAGAAATAAAGCAGAATAAAATGTATAATTATTTTAAAATATATCTTCTGGCTCAGTGAGCCACTTCTGATTTTTCATAAAAAGAGAACAAAGCTTATTTAGAAATTTTATGGCCAGGGACAAGTTTTGGCTACTGAGTAATAATACTACATTGTTGTTGTGGCTGAAGAAGAGCCAATGGAACATGTTTACACCCATTCAGTTTAGAGGATAAAGAGTACTGTGGTCACAGCAGAAACAGCTGAAAAATACCAAAAGGGGATTGTAGTTTAACAAAGGGCAAAGTGCCTTTCTTACAGTTTTTATTGACTTTGCATGTAAAAAGTGCCCATTCTGTACGGTGCAGCGGTGCCCCAGCCAAGTGCCCTCTCAGGCTGCTGCCCTGAAGGAGCCCAGTGGCTGCAGGTGCCTCAGCCCAAGAGCAGCCAAGCAGAGGCAGCTGCAGAACTCCAGGACCTCACAAACTGTTTTGGTTATTTTCCCACTGCTAGGACAACTAAAGATTCAACCTGTAAGGTTAATACAGGAAACCAACAAGGTAAATATTTTTATATTTTGAATTGTTAAAAGTGTATGTCTTTTAATCCAAATTAACTTGTTTCTAAGACCAGAAATCTAGCCAGTCATGTCAACTGTAACCAAAGCTGTGCTGGTTATGAATCTTCCATGTCTGGACAGCAGATTTCCATGCTCAGCTTTCTTTCTTTTGGTAAGTTTCTCAGTGACGTGCCCTATGTTGAGCTTTTTCTCCTACACTAGAAGTGCTTCTGCAACTCACATTGCTCACTGCTCTTGCAATGCTGAAAAGTCCTGGTGTGGAATGTGCCTCAGTAGCACAGCAGAACAAATGCCACCAGGGACATTCTTGCTATGCTTCCCAGGAAAGCAGGAAAAGAACATTCATGCAGAATATGCTGTAAAGATTTAAGAGGTTTCATTTTGTAAGGATATTTGTTTAGTGGGAAGGATTAGCATTATCATGTTTG